TTCAGACCCTTGCTCCTTCACCTTCTCTAAGCCAAATGAGCCCAGCTCCCTAAGCCACTCCTCCTGCATCACAGGCTCCAGCCCTCCTCCATCCCGATGGCCTCTGTCACACTTCCCAGTTTGTTGAAATCCTTCCGGAACTGTGTGCCCACACTGGGACACTTCTGCAGGTGTGGCCTCTTTACTGCTGACTGGCACAGTGACTGAACATTCAACTCTGTGACTACAGCTTCCTACACAGCCCCATTTGCCTTCATTGCTGCAAGGGTGCACTGGGAACTCATTTATTATCCATGGGAAACCAGATCCTTTCCTGCAGAGCTGGTGCCCAGCCAGCCCCAGGCTGCACATCCCTGCATGCAGGGATGGTTGTCCCACCTGCACAATGTTGCATTGCTCAACATCGTGAGGCTCCTGCTGTGTTCCTCCCACTTGCTCAGGTCGCTGCCCTCCAGCTTCCCTTCCCCTGCCTTTGGTGGAGTTCAAACACAGCTACGCCTTCAACAGCTCCCTCCTGGCACTTGCCAAGATCCCTCTGCTCCAGATCCTCTGGCTCACCCAGGAGGTCGGGTGACAGTGTAGCCGACAGTGGAGCTTTTCCCCTCTAGGAAAGCAGAGTGAAGAGAACTTGTGCAATGAAAACCTGTAAAGCAAGTTCTCTTCAGTGCACAAGCCCAGCAGAGTAACAAATTGAGACTTTCACCAGTCTCAAAAGACTTTCTCTTGGTCATGGTGAACAAGACTATGTTTTGACTGCAGACAAAAGCCACCATTTGAGGTACCCAAGTATAAAATCAGCTTAAAAACCCCCACAAACAACCAAAGCCCTGCATAGGTGCAGAATTTATTTACAGGTTTCAGAAACCTCCTGTACCTTTAGTCAAACCCTGGGTTTACAGGCAAAAAAACCCTAACTCTTGCAGAACTGACTGCAGCCTCCTCTCTTGTTCTTCAGAGCAGAGGAGATAATGTCCTGGAGAGTCATTCCTCACCCTGACACCTTTTTTGAGTAAGGACTACAGGAGAGGAAAAAAGCAGGGGGAAGAGATGAAAGAAAACATGACAGCTCTGGCTGGTCAACTGTCCTGTCTCAAACGTAACACCTACCAGAGATTTGCTCTACAACTTGTATTCTAAAACAAACCAACACACAACAAGCCTTCATGTACAAGCACAATCAGCAACTGTCAAATGAACCACAGCAGGATTTGCAGCTTCTGTCTCTGGGATGCACAGCCCAGCACAAAGACACCATTAAATCAAATGTGTTGTCGTCAATCCCTGCTTACTCTGACACCAGAAAACTCTTTCACAGCTCATCCCTAGCACTGCCAGGAAGCAGCTGCTTGACATGACTGTCCTAAAGGCAGAGCTGGATGCTTATGCCTTCCCTGGTGCTCCCAACTCATCTCCTGTTTTGTGTAAGAGGAGGAGCAAATCCCACTGACTCTCATCCGTGCTCCCAGTTACATGAGACAGCAATTTGTTGAGCTGCAGAGCAGCCACACTGCCCATCTCACACAGGAGCACAGATACGAGCCATGGCACAAGGCAGCAATGCTGGGAACAGGAGTATGTGGTCCAGCTGAGCAAAAATAATTACCCTGAGCACAACTCCATGCTGATGAAGCAATTCTGCTTCCACTCCAGATCTAAACAAAAACATCACCCACAGCACTGCATTATGCCAGAGTCAGCCAGCAAAACACTCAAGCTAAAAAGAGCCAACTCAGACTACACTGGAGGAAAACCCACTTTTTAAGTTCAAACGATCCAGACATGGCATTAAAAGTATAATAAATTTCCAGCTTTAGACAGGCTAAAATGCATCACCAGCTCTTCACAAGGACTGAAGATACTTCCCTTGTATTGATCATAAATAAATTCTCACATCAGGAGAGGGCAGACAAAAGAACTGAGGGCAAATCATGGCCATCACAAAAATCTCAGCCCCTCCCCAACATCATCCACCTCCTGCAGTGCTTGGATGGCTCCTTCTAGCCCTGCTCAGGCACTGTATCTTGTGCACAGCTGATGGCAGACATGAGCGAAGCAGTGCTGTTTCCTTATCAGCTAGGATGCAGAAACAACTACTGCTTTTTCCTTCTAAAGCTGCTGTTAGGTTTAGGAGGAATTTTTAACTATTAACGGGTTTCTCAATATCAGTGTTAGGCCTGTGGAGTCATCATACCAGCCTGCACCCCAAGGGAGTGCTCATGACACCTCTCCCTACACCTGTTTCACACGGCCTTTGCAGGGTCTTCTGCAAAGAATCACAGAATCATTGGCTTAGGAAGGGATCTCTGGAGATCATCCAGTCCAAACCCCCTGCCAAAGCAGGGTCACCCAGAGCAGATGACATAGGAACATGTCCAGGTGTGTTTGGAACATCTCCAGAGAGGGAGACTCCAGAAGCTCCCTGGGTAGCTGCTCCAGGACTCTGCCACCCTCAGCAAAAAGAAGTTTTTCCCCACGTAAAGGTGGAAGTTATTGTAGTTTAGCATATGGCCACTGCTCCTTGTTCTGGTGTTGTGCACCACCAAAAAGAAGGTTCAGGGTGGGTGGCACCATCCTCCAAGAGCTCCAAGATGACCCACAGACTGTGCTACTGGAAAACACAGCAAGTTCATCATTTGGGGAAGGCAAAAGAGCAGCCCTAAGACAGGAGGCAAGAACTCCTCAGTGCAGCATGACCACATGACCAGAGAAGACTGACCCAGCCCACACAGTGCTCCAACACAGGCAGAGGAGGAAGGGAAAGGACACTCCCAAAGGTACATTCCTCATCTGATTCTCTCACTCGACAAGCAACAACCATAACCTGCTACAAAGCACCAGGGAACACCTGTGACACTGCAGCTTGTCTAAGCCTTCAACTTGTGTGCCTGTCATCTGTCTCCCTGCTGCTTTTCCAGTATCTCTAATGTATTTGATCTTCCTCTCACCAAACACCAGATTTTTTTCACTAACACATTCGTAGCTACTTATGAAAGGCAACAGTGAAATCCACCAGTGTCTTGAATATTTCATTTCACTGATATCAGAAAGTTGTTTGTAGAAACACAGTTTGTTTACAGACTCATCTTCCTCCTACAAGTCCCAACACTTCAGCTACTGTTTCCTGATTTTAAGGCTGTGTCTGCAAGAGAAGCTAGAATCCTGGAATGTTAAGGGGCTGGAAGGAGCCTTAAAGACCATATAGTTCCAACTTCCCCTGCCATGGACAGGGATACCTTCTACTAGACCACGTTGCTCAAGGCCTTATCCAGTTTGGCTTTGAACACTTCCAGGTAGGGGGCAGCCACAGCTTCCATGGGAAACCTGTTCCAGTGTCTCACCACCCTCACAGGGAAGAATTGCTTCTTAGTATCTAACCGAAATTTCCCCTTTATCAACTTGCACCCATTCCCCCTTGTCCCGCCACTCCCGTTCCTCACAAAGAGCCCCTCTCCGGCTTCCCTGTAGGCTCCTTCAAATACTGGAAGGTTCTGCGAGGTCTGCACCGGCCCGGTCCCGGGTCAGGTGTAGCCTGCGCCAGGGCCAGGCCGAGCCCGGCCCCTCCGCAGTCCCCGCCCGACGCCATAGCAACGCCACACGGCCCTGCCGCCACTCCCCCCTCAAGCTCCCGGCCCCTGCCGCCCCCCGGCCCCGCCTCGGCGCCTCCGGCCCCTCACCAGCTCCTTAGGCGGCTTCTCGGGGGTCTTCCCGAACAGCCCCATGGCGGCCGCCCCGCCCGGCACTTCCGGGTTTCCCACAGCCGGGCCGGCCGCAGACCGCACTGCGCCTGCGCCGCCGCCACTGCAGGTCCCGCCCCCTCCGCGTGGGGGCGGGGCCCGAGCGGCCTCGCCCCGCCCCTCGCGGCTCCCTGCCAGTCACGTGGGGCTGCGCACGGCCCCGCCCCGCGCCGAGGGGCGGGAGAGCGCTGAGGGCTCTGGTGGCGGCGGGGGCGCTCGGCTCCGCGCACTGAGCGTGTTTGTAACACGTTCGCTGGGTCAGTCAGGTTCGGAAGGACTTCTGAGATTATCGAATGCAGCCATGACCGAACTCCACTATGGCACTAGGTGCCATGTCCCATCTTTCCTTAAACACCTCCAGGGACAGTGATTCCATCGCCTTGGCCAGCCTATTCCAATGTCCAATCACCCCGTGAAGAAAGTCCTCCTAATGCGCAACCTAAACTCCACTGGTCTAGTTTAAGACTGCGCCGTCTTGTCCTGTCGCTGGATTCCTGTGATCAGAGGCTGATCTCCACTGGTGCACCCTCCTGTCAGGAGTTGTGGAGAGCAGTAAGGTTCTCCCTGAGCCTCCTTCAGGCTGAGCCCGCTCAGCTGCTCCGTGCTGCAGACCCTTCCCCAGCTCCGCTGCCTTCTCTGCAACTCCAGCACTCGATAACCTGCTGCTGCAAGGGCTCCCACTCCGGTCTTTCCCCTGGGCCGGCCCGCAGGACACCCGAGGGTCGTACAAAGCTCATACAAGCCGACGGCCACCTCTTCCCCAGCTGCCGGGGCTCTTTCAGAGAAATCCCACCAGCCAGGCCTGGCTCATCTTCACCCTCCTCTCTGCAGGGTCACCTGGCTGAAATGAAGGGACAGCTTGGAGCTGCTCTGCTGGAGCTCCCAGCCAGTCATTCCATCTCTTCACGCCCTGGTGCACAATCTGAGACTGAGAGCATTAGAAATAAATCAGTGATGCACAGAGTGCAAAAGCTTAGGAAGAAAAAGGTGCTAACATAATCTAACTCTTTAATACCTTACAACTGTACTTACCCTCATTTTTTAATTACCAGAGACAGACATTTTAATGAATTACAAAAATGTACACTTTTGCCTTTGTCATCTTTCCCTCCAGAATCTAATGCAGAAAAAAGATCTAAACAAGCTTTGGAAAAGAGAGCTCTCACTTTGGACTAAGCACCAGCAGTAGGAAAGCCAGTGCTAATAAAACAATAATTTATGAAATCGGGAGTGGCAAAAGCTTCAGAGATTATTTAAATCCATCCATTGTAAAAGCAGCACAAAACGTCCATCACCTTTATTAAACCTAACAAATAAGTGAATACTCATTGGTTTGACATTTTCTGTTTACAACTGGTCTCCAGCTTCCAAGCACGAGACATCAGAGAATAAAACACCACTTTAGGAATGTTTAACATCTCAGTTAAGACACTTCACAAGTACTAGCACAACCCAGCCCTGCGAGGCAAAACATGTGAGCAGCGAAACTGCTGACCTTGTTACAGACACAGTCTTTGCTCCTTTGCTCCGTTCTCCGATGTTCAACTGTCATCGCATCAGGGAAGGGCTGAGATCCTGCACGCGATAGAAAACAATGTTATTTGGATGCTTCTGCTGCTACTGACACGAGCATTCCATAAAATAAACACATCCAACTGCTTTCTCTGTCCTGCTGGGACTCTCAGTACACTACGCCAGCTGCTCAAGGTTCTGTAACAGATGCATTGCCAGGAACTGCATCACAACAATTTATATAACCCAGACACGAGGGGACTGAACCTTCCTCCACAGCTACCTACTGGTCATAATTACCTGCTCCTGTGGATGTGCCCTCAGTGGCTCTCATGCTAATTAAACAGCAGTTTGGGTCATTCATCAAAAGAACGGGATGAGTAGAGCAACTGAGGCCATTAAAACAAGTCCTCAGCTGAAACAGGTGTGCACAAAGGTTTGCAAACAAGGCTTTGCCAGTGCACAGGAGCAGAGCTGCTGAGGCTGTGTGTGAGGGTGAGGAGGTCAGCCTTCAGCAGCAGAGCTGCACTCCACGAGCACTCAGTGCTCCAAGGACACAGCATTGCTCCAGCTTAGCACTCGCAGCATTTGGCAAATTGACGAGGTACCAGCGAAAGGCTACAGTGGGCTGTGACAACAGCACCTTGCCTGTGTGTGTCAGCACCTCAGCTACAGCCTTATTTATACTCACAAACCTTCTCCTTTCCCTTGGCAAGGCCTCACTTCAGTGCAGGTTTCAAAACATCCTGAAACAATGTGGATTTCAGCTCCTGACAAGCACATATGCCATGCTGCTGCACAAACTGGAAGCAGAAATGATCTTTGCCCTCATTATGCCTCTCCGCTGCTCTGCCGAGGCTGTAATGACAGAGACAGGGCATGTACTGGCAGGTCTCAACTGGAATAAAAATTGCTTTCTGGACCACGGGAGAGTTGCTGATATTGTGCCCCTTGTACCTCTCTGCCTCAGTACTGCCCTGGGAAAAAGGAAATGAGAGAGAAAAAAGGACTTGGTAAATTAAAAACAGCTCTTCTGCTAATTACATGAATATCCTCTTGGGAACACACCTAGTGACAGAGCCGTGAAACATTTGTTAATAGAAAAGAGCGTGCCCAGGTACCCGGGACAGATGAAACAGTGCCAGAAGCTCTTTGAGCACCAAACCTCCCATCCCAACTCTATAAAGACACAGGGAATGTGTTGTAACTGCAATGGGGAGCTGTATTTCCTATTATCATCATCTTTATGTGATTATCCTCCCTTCATATAAACAAAATTTAGGAAAGAAATAAGAAAAATGAAAATATCTTTCTAGTTTAGCCTTTTTCTCTACTCATATCATCTCCTGCCCTTCCATGCCTCGCCTTTTTCTTTCCAACCAACAATTCCTCTGTATTTTCAGCTAGCTGATTTCTGAAATATACAACCAAAATCAGAGTTTCATATTGAAAGAAAACAACAGACTAAATTCTTTATGGCACCAAAGAACTATCAAAGAAACCAGAAATCACTTCAGAACACCAGCACAGTTGGAAGCTGGCAATTTTACCTTTACAAGCCACTTCTGTCACTGCATGACAATATTCTGCTCCTTCTCAACAGTTTACTTTGAGGCTGTAGAGGGAGCTACCCTAAAGTCTTCCTAGATATCTGCAGATGAGGGTTCTGGAGAGACAGCTGCTAGAAGAGGGTCTCCATCTGGAAAAGCAGCTTGTAATCAACTGGAAAACCACTGATCAAGCAGAGAAGAACCTCAACAGAGCAGACTTTTGAAGGAAGCAGCTCCCAGTGAAACACCACTGCCTTCTGCTTGGCCAGTGGGTTGGAGCACTGAATTCCTGCATCCCTAGGAGATGATTTATTAGTCACGGAAGTTGTGTTATATTTTTATTGTCTTCACAGATAAATCAGGCCAGCAAGACATCCGTAACCATACACACAAAATATTTATCAAAACAATTAACATTACAAATCTCATTTTAAAATAATTTATTTCACCGATTTCTTTTTAAATGGTACTGTCTTACAACATACATTATTCAACAAAGATGTGCAGAACAGACTCTAAAATAAGAAACACTTAAATTAAGCCATTGTCTCCGATTAGAATTTCAATTTCACCCATATCCTAACTTGTAAACGTTTGCTGGAATACACTTCTCTTGTAGGCTTGATTTTTGTGCTTACAAAAACAGCATCAAGTATCCAGATGTTGAAGAGAGCAAGTTATTTGTATGGTAAGTTTGCATTCAGTTCAACATACAAGGCAACCAAATGATTCTGTCATTAACGTTAGCATCATGTATATTTTAGTTCACTGCACTAACATTTAAACTAAAACTTCAAACCACGTAATCTTTTAAGTGACTAACATTTAAAAGGCAAGCAGTAATATCCTGAAAGCTTACAAAGGACATGGGCACACAGCTAAGACGGGGGCTCACTCGACAAAGGCTGCGGGTGTGTGTATGGCTGCTTTTTTTTGTAGGACGCCCACCTGCAGACGGGGCAGCAGTGTCGCCCGCCCGCCAGCCACTTCACGATGCAATTCTGGTGGAACACGTGGCCGCACGGCAAGCCCATCAGCAGGCAGCCCTTTGCAAAATTCTCTAGACACACCACACATTCCGTACAGTGCAACATGTCGGAGGGCCAGGCTGACCAGTCTGGCTCCAGGTCACCTGCGGAGCTGTAGGACCTGGCTTTGCGTTCGCAGGGCTCGTGGTGACAATAGTGGCTGGCACACGAGCAGGCCTCGGCACCGCACCGCTGCTCTCCATCGCTGCACCTGTGACACGTGCCCAGCTCATCGTCCTCCGACACTTCTCTGTCGCTGCTGAAGACCTCTTTGTTTTCACTGTCAGAGTCACTTTCGCTGTCTGCAAAGCTTTCCAGCATTTCCTCATCAGAATGGGCGCCGAGGCATTGAAACCTCCACATGGGTAAGTTTTTTATATAATCAGTTGGTATCAGAGGGTGAAGCCAGAGATCGGGGAAGGCCAACCTCTCTAAGAACAAATCCGGGTCTTCATCCCAATCTGAGTCAAAAGGGAAGTGTTGAAAAGAAGCAATGGGATGAAACAGATAGCTGGTGTACCAGTCCCACAGACTTGACAGCCACTCCAGATTATTAGCATTTACTTCATCTGTGTTGTTATTACGCCTTCGCTTCTTCTCAAAGTAATCAATTAGTAAACCATGGCCAAGGTATGTGCTGAGGAAGAGGGCTGGATGTGAAGAGTAGAACATCCAATCTGCCCTCACCCAAGAAGCCAAAGTAGTTGTGTTAGAGTACCTGAAGAGTTTTAAACTGTATTCATAAAAGCTGTCTAAGTAGGGCAGTTGCAAAAAACCTAACACTGGTAGCCAGGAAATAATTAATAGTGAATTATACGTCCCTAAAGTGCTTATAAGAACCACAAAACGCTTTATAGTGGCGCCTTGTGTAATAAACAGGTCCATCCAAGCCATCAGATTAACCAAAACTAAACTTAAAACAAATAAATCGTTAACTTCTGGTTGCAACGAGCGCAAAAAGGAATCCATGGCACGTAGTGATATAAATTCACCAGTGTTATTTCCATACCGGTAAATCCCCTCAGGAGTCCTAAGTATGTATGATGGTGTCTTGTAGATACCAATTTCTGCCATGTAACTTTTATTGTCCCAGTTTTCCACGTTCACAAAAATAAACTCTACTCTTCCAGTAAACTTTACGCTTAGTGCAGAGAAGAACGCCGGAGGCTGGTCGAGGTTGGCAAACAGGTATATTTTCACCCGGTACTGGTCACTTTTGTTCCATTCTTCTTTCAAATGTTCGGAGCTGTAGATGGTTTTGATGCGAGAGGCAGCATGGGCTGTGATCCATTTGAAGATGTGCTCCACTTCAATCCTGCGCCCGCTGTATTCCTTAAGCATGACTTTTCCCTTGGAGGTGCTGGTTTGTGGAACCGACATAATGAGGGTGGATTTCAGCCAACCCCTCCTCTTGCAGTATCTACAAAGAAAACGGTAGGTTAGATTACAGTTTCATAACTCCAGAACTGAGTCCTTACATTTCTATTCTAAGCCCAAAAATGAGACATGCTGAGCACCTGGGAACCCTTATAATACAATAGCAGGAAATAAGGGCACCCAGTATTCTCTGGGAAAGCATATTTATCCTTACAATACATTTATATCTTACAGGACTATTATAAAGAGATATGCATTCATAAAACAGGAAGACGAATAGTGTTAATTTTCACAAGTCATTAAAGTAAACAAGGCCATGCAGCCATTTATGCTTTGTAACTGGATTTGAATAATACACAAGCTGACTCTACTTTAAAGCTTTAGTATTAGAAGCTACTTTTCCTTAGCTTTCCAGCCAAGAAGAAAACCACTCCAGTGTAACTCAATATCCCACAGCTTTCCCAGTGCTTCCTTCCATCCTGGTTTTGCCAAGCAGCTGTGGGGTGAAGCTGAGCAGTCACTGGTCTGTTTGCAGCTGCTTTAATGAAGCTGACAAGTGTCCACTTCCTACTGGGACCATTTTGGCAGGAGGCAGACAGGCTAAGGGGTGAGGTGAGAGAGTTGACCACAAAACCAGTGGAGTAGGAAGCAGACACATGGTGCTGGATGATTTGGGCTAAAAAATACCCACATTGTCTAGCAGGCAGATGGGATGAACCCCAAATCCATAACTAAAAGAAGAGGCTCTTCATGGCTGAACCCTGAGTCATGGTCCAGACCACATTAACTCTGAGATGAATCTGATAACTCACAAGATCCCTTCTCTCATGCATCTTTCCTACCAATATCACTACACCAAATTACCTAGTCCTCCTTTAAGGAAATATCTGGCAAGCTTCAACAATTAAAATATGACAAAGCCAACAGGCACACAGTCTGAGAATCCCACATATTGGGACCACTAGCCTCATTCACCAGCCATCCTACCTAGCTCCTCTGTGGTTTGGGTCTGTCAACATGTATTTAGAGAACTACAACTCTCCAGGAATCTTAATGTAGCATTTTTAGAAAGAGCCATAAGATATTACCCTGCTAATAAAGGTATCCAGACTACTGCAGCATGTAGTATTCTTCTGAATTTCAGCTGCAACCCGATGAAAACTATTCACAAGGATTTACTCAACAAAACATTTTTTGTACTAAAAAAAATGAATTAATTTAAAACATGGTATTTGATCAGAACATTAAGGCTACTTAGGAGCTATGCAAAGAGAAACACTGCCAAATTTTTAAGATGTTCAAATACAAGATTATTTTGCATAAGCACTACAAAGCCTAAGAATTTCCTCTTATGATTAACACTGAGATTTCTGTAAACATTTAGGACTTAAGCTGCATAAGATGTGAGTATCCATACATGCCACTGGAATTCTAGACAAAGTCTCCTGTCATGTAAAGCAAACGCCTCCAACAAAATGTTTTAAAAAAGCTTCTTTTTACAGCAGCAGAGAATTATTAATAGCTTCTTTGGCTCTGCTCTTCTTCCTTGTTCGAAATCATTTGCAAACACAGTGACTCTGCACAGCACACTGTGTGTTGTCCAAGGGTGTGTGCCAGTTTATATATAAACATACATTTGTCAGGGAACAGGATTTTTCAGTAATTCTGGGAGGCAGGCACTGTATGCAAGGTTCATGCTAACCTGAGCTCCCCCATTCCAGATGGTGATACAACAACTCTAAAACAGATATATTTGTCCTAAGCAAGCACAGCTCCTCTCCCTGAATGCCTGGCCTGGAAGGCCAAACTCTTCCGTTCATTCCTCTCCACTGCTGTATTATGCTCTCCACAGTCTAATCATGCATTTCCCACACAACTCTTTAGGAAGCTGCAGAGCTGATAAATAATGTAATGGAGCATTCTGAGCAGACTTCAGGAGAGATAAAAACATGAATAAAGCCACCTTCTGTCACAGTTACTTTTACAACACAGCAAGCCCTGCCGCTAGAACACAGCTGAGCCTTAAGATATTCTTGGGATTTAGATAATCCTTTACGGATATACCTGGGGTCACTGGAACAGTTAAAAGTGCCAGTACGTATGCCGAACCTCGAGACTTTCTTCACCATTTTCTCCCAGTGGACTTTACCCACCAGTGGGCTTCTGCCGTTTGCTATGACCTATTGCCAGAAGGAAATACTAGTTTAGTATCACAGTCAGTTTGGTTCCTGAAATAAAGAGCAAGTTTGAAGAAAACAGAGTGCCAGTTATGCTTGATACCCTTCCCCATTCTTTTAGGACACAGAGTATGAATGTACAACTGGGAGTCGTGGTAAACGTTTTTGGAGAGTGAAGCTCTAAGACAGAAATGTGGTTTCTGCAGAAAGAAGTGCATCATCATGTTACGTACATGTTAAGATACTAAAATCAGTGGTAGTTAACAAAAACGTTGGTAAAATAACAAAACTATCATTAACCAGTTCATAGTAAGAGAGAAAGGAGAGAGGTGCAGCAGGTTCCTCCTCTTTGCAATAAAAACAGGACCATCATTTTATTACAATTCTCCCTCAGAAAGTTACAATATACAAAACACTGTCTCAGAGCAAGTAGAATGAGTGGGAATGCATGTACCTGGTACCAGATTAAACTGCCAACAGCCATTCCTGAGCAGTGGAAACAACTGATTAAACTCCCAGATAATGCCTAAGAATCTTGACTCCTTTTCAGCTTTGCCCGTGACTCTTTGCAACTTTGTGTGACTGTTCCACCAACTCCAGTGTCCCATCTGCCATTTCAGGACGATCACTTGCTGTGATATATCCCAAGGTTTAATTTGTTCTAACCCAGTATATTAAAGTTGTACTTCAGGTTACTTCACTGTAAGCTCCTGCTGACACAGACGACGAAGAAGCAGAGTTCATCCTCTGACTTATAACCATACAGGGAGGGGGAAAAAAAACCCACAAGGAAAAGAAAACCCTGCCTGCCTGCAGCTGACAGGTAATTTTGAATGACATGACTGATCATGCACTATTCCACAAGCCGTCACATTTTCTATTTTAAAAATGCCTCACGTGCTTCTGCAGGCTTACTGGCAGCCACTTAAAATATATTTTTAAATTAAATCTTGAAACTTCCATTTGTTAGATATTTGTTCACCCGCCATTAAACTTATTCCAATCGTTTTCTGACTTAATAACCTCAAATGTCAGCTTGCCCCTGGAAGTTGGGCTGTCACCATGATTAACAGTTCTCTGTGGACATGCTGAGATTCAACCTAGAAAGTGTGTCCAGCCTTTGAGACTCATAAATATTATCTGCTTCGTGGTAAGTAGCAGCCTCTCAGAATCTTAAAATAGAAGAATTCACCAAGCAGAATATTCTACATAGGGAAACAAACTGAAGTCACAGATTACATTCCCATTCCTCTAAGCCCAAAATGTCTAAATAACACTGGAGGTGTGAATCTAGGTAAGAATCCTTCAAGTTATTCTTAAAACACACACATCACATAGAAAAGCCTTCTTGATTAGATAAATGTAACCATCAGGCACTGAGGCCAACCAGATGGGAAATCTGCTGTATTACTGAGGTTTCTTTACATCACCCAATGTGACTGAAGCTTTGGACATTTTAAACTTCTTCCTTTCATGCACTTCAATCAAGGGAGACCAAAGTCCTAAAGACACCTTAAAATCAGAATATCCTCAGAGCTACTATGGCATGATAAATGCACCCAACATGGCAAGGAACCACTATGTTTTATTAGTAAGCATGGAAGTAAAACTTTAGTAACTGAATTACTCTTTGGTACAACTACTCAGAGATTGGCTTCTTCCAAAACTCTGTGTGTATGTTCTGAAACACTGATGAGAGCATGTTAATGTTGTGTGCAGGACAGATCCTGCTCACTGTTTCTTCTGCCTGGCACTACAACATTCATTTTAAGTGTTGAGTCAAAAATTTGTTGCAATACAGTCGCCATTATATTTTACTGTCACCTGCCTGTACTGGTGGAATTTTTAACACCAGCTTAATTCTTTTCCTATGAAAAAGTCTTTCCTCTTGGAGAAAGTTATTTATACTGAAGAACAATGACCTAAGTAGCAATCTGTATTTTGTAACTACATATAGGAACCTACTATGGTTTTGCACACTGAAGCTTTGTAAAATATTTTGGGCTCATGGTTTTTTAATGTCATTATGGAAAAAAATCCAAATAAACATGTCTGTTGCAGCTGCTCCTTGCAGACAACACCCACTTACAGCACTGGGAGTTCACCATGCCAAGGCAAGGCTTTGTATTTTGGAAAGCAGTCACCACCTCTGTGCATGAGGGAGTCCAAGAAAATACTGCAGGTTAAGCAATCAAAATGTACTTCAGTTTAAATTAAAAATATCCTGCAAACACTTGTAACAGATTTTATTTAAGAAGTGTGAATTTTGGTAAGAAGTTTAGCTTAAAAACGTGTGACTGAGGAGACTGGGAATTTGTATGTGGAACAGGCCTGGAAGTTCTTCAAGCCCATGGTGTTAAAGCTATCAGGAGTTTATATTTCAAGTAAGGAAACAAAAAGGTTACCAAGTCCTGCACTTCTTCCTAGCAATCACTTCCAAAGAGAGGTTAGAAATAGTTTGACAATCTACAAGGATTGAAAAAAAGGTCAAAAGGAAGAGCTATCAAAGAAAGATATGCAAGGAAAAAAAGTAAGGAAAAATGAGCTATTCAAGTTAGATCATACAAAGACTATCACAAGTTGTACCAAAAGGTTTTTCAGTCATATGAATAAGAATAGAACAGGGGGAGAAGCAGCAGGATCACCAAACAATGAAGATAGGATAGAAATGTAAGATAATTTTCTTTTTAAAGTTAAATTAATACTGTGACTCACTTTTCAGTGAAGAAGGGGGGGTGGCTGGCCATGGACCAGTTGGCAAATTTATGGGAAGAAACTACATCACCTGAAGGTGAAAGCAGAACTCAAATAACTTAATGCACTTAAATCAGAGCAAGCAGGATATCTCCATCCTAGAACTGTAGCACAAGCACACAGGATCACAGGTGAACCTGTGAAAATTTCTTGCAAACTCCTGTCAGACCAATTCCCATTTTGACAGGACAGTAACAAGTTTGTAGCTATATTTAAGAGCAAATGAAAAAAAAATCCCACCAGTTTGATAGGATCAATAGGATGCAAAACTGTAGAAGTTTCAGAGGTGCAGAGACAGTTGCAATTACTAAAGATGTATCATTCCTGATTGAGAGAAACTTTCCCTGAAGGAAAAGAACTGAGTTTCAAGAGAAAAAGGGAACGTAGTACCTTGTTTGTAGTTTGGCAGTATATTATGCATTATGCCACGAGGAAAATTTACATGAGAGCTACAGATAGGCTTTTATAGTGAATGAAAAAAAAAAAAAAGAAACTTTTAAAATGAGCAAGAAATTGGCTACAGCAAAAAGACATCAAAATGCCAGAAAGGTGCTAACAGACTTCTTAATAGATTTACCTTAGAGCTCAGTTCAGCATATATTCCCATTAAAGCCCTTCCTATGGGAACTTGAAGTCTCCCAAAGCCATTTGTAGAAGACATAAAACTGGGAAGCACATCTTTGTGGGAAAGAGGATTATAAGGCCATGCAGGAAGAGCTGCACAAATCTTGTAATGCAGAGTGTCACATATGAAATTGAATTCAGTAATGAACAGAACACTTGGGGAGTTCATCAGTTAGAAACAGCAATGGGAGCAAATGCCTGGGGCTATCAGTTGCTCCACAAGAAAACATGAGCCATCAATATTAACTGGCTGCAAAACAAGCAAAGCCCAGGATATATCAGACCTGACAAAACAAACTGGTTGATTGACCTCACTTACTGGGAGGAGTGTGGTTGACATCAGGGTTCAGTGAAACTAAAGGGCAGTGTCAATTTATGCCCAATAGGAACAAATTAGCCCCGAATATACCCAAGGCAGAAGTCAGACACACATTTCCAAGAAGAAAACTGTCAACAGGAGTATTTGAACAACTTACAGTATAAGAGAGACAGCAAATTATTTTCTAAACACATATTCTATAGTCTAGCAGAAAGCTGAACTAGCTCATCAAAAAGGTCCCTTTCAATCATACATTCTGTTTAATGTTATAGAAACAAAGCCCAAGGAGATGTCACTCATAGGTGATCTCACCATTTAGGAGATCAGCTAACACAGATGGGAAACAAACACCATGTCTGGAGAAGTCCAAACCCTCTCAGCTTTGCTTATTAGCTATGTTCACAATTTGTGACATTATCACATGTCAGAGTGACAAGTAAGACAATGAGGGTAACTCAATTAATCCATTAATCATCTTAATGGGCTAAAGGAATCCAATAGGATCACAGTAACCCTGCTATTTAACAACTTCACATGACAGAATGGATCTGCTCCCTAACCCACATCCAGCCCTGGCCAGAGGATTGGCTCTGACTGCAGGGTCTGAATTACCATCTCTGTAATACTGAAAATGCTGAGATTCTGATGATTTCAAAAGACAATTGAATAGGGAGCTTTTGCATTGGAAGAGTTCTCATGACATGGAATTACAGAGAATTACGCCCGAAGAGTTCAGTGAAGAAAGCAATTAGAAAAATCAGTAAATTAGAAAAATAGAATTATTTTGATCTATATGTTAAAGTAGTCATAGTTATGACATTAAAGAACAGACTTTTAGAGCAAATATCCCAAAGCCAGAAAGATACAAACACTTGGAAAAAGAGGACTAAATCACTAAGGCACTTTGCCTCTCTTGCCTAATCCAAACCCAAAGTGTATTGGGTAGGTGCATCAATATTGCAATAGCTACTTTATAACCATCACAGATCCAGCTGCTCCTTAATTTCCAAGTATCATTAAGCATTTTTAAAGATTATTTTATGAAACATAGATTCTTAAAATACAAGTAAAAATATGACTGAAATTGAAGAGGCTTGAGAATGCACAGCTGATGTTAAGAGTTTGCTGTAGCAATGCAATATGCAAAGAGACTCCTCTTCTGCTACCACTGAAGTACTTGAGCATGCTATGATAATGACCTCACTTGAGCATTATCCTGTTTTCTGTACATTTAAATCAGATTTTGTTCAATTTCTTTCAGACAGGTATACAGAGATCTCAAAGCAGGTCACAGGAACAAGATTTATTCTCAGTACGTTTTGAAGCTCGCTCACAACTGAAAGTGTTCAAATATCACAAGGCATGACAATGAGTCAGAGAGGGGCAGAAGCAGAACTAACACCTCATGTGCTCCAGCTCTCATTATTTTAGCTGATTCTGGGCCAGCAAGTGTCAGGCACACCTGCTCATACCAACAACACACAATTTCAAACACACAATAATAGTCACAACTTGGTTTTACAGCTCACCCACAAAGGTAACGACCCCAAGTGCTCCTCAGCTCTGGGCACTAGGGCACTGTGACAGACCTCACACCATCAGGAACAACAGAAGCCATTAAGTAAAAATCACCTTTTCCTGCTGCACACACACACATCCAGGTAGTTGTCTCAGGAGCAATCAGTCCTCACCCAGCCTCAGCAAGTCACTCCACATAAGGAATACAGACATTTGAATTGGAAAAAATCTGTGTAGTTTTGCCAAAGGCAAAACTGATTTCTAACTCATTTCATGAACTAGTAAGGTTGTATGAACGTGAGAATTGTCTGTTTGGTTCAGTGGTTTCCAATTCGAGACACCCAGGAACTCTCCCACAGTGCCTGCAGAGGGTAAATTGAGCAGAGGAAACTCAGTATTACTGCAAAGATTCCATGCATGCCCTGGAAGATTTTCAGGGATCCACAAAGACAAAAAGGTTCAAAAAACTCTAGTCCTAGAACGCTATTTTATCAATAACTATGCTGCAAACTCTGCTTCTATATATAAAACAGAAGTAAAAATACAATTAATTATAAATTTGGTATTGGTAATTTACTTATTAGAAGTTTGGAAAAAAGCTCATTTATTCAGATAATGTCAGTAAGTTTCTACATTAATGTCTGCACTTCTATTAGCTCTGAGACATCTCATTTTCTGTTTATTACTTGACAATGTGTTAGTGGAACTGAATTTCCACTTAGACTCTCTTTCCTAAGAATTCACAACTCATTCAGAATCCACCCATATGGACTGAAGATATCTGGAGGCTTTTTTTGCCTTATTTTCTGAGAAAGACATTGTGAGAAATCACTTCAAATTAGGCAAAGACTACATCCATCACAGCACGCAAAAATTAACCACCTCAAAATCATGGGCAGTTTCTCCAGGGAGGGGAGGTGACCTATGCACTGATCTGGACAGTCAGTTATGCTGTCTGTTAGTTCAGAGATTGAGAATAAACGAGCTTCTGCAATGAGTTAACACAGACACACAGGCAATACAAGGACTATTACATTCCAGCTGATAGTATTCTGCACCCTTGACTGCATATGAAGCCTCTCAAGAAGAAAACTGAAACTTAAAATCAGGTATCCTGTGGTAAATGATCCTGAAGGGGTATTGGAAAAGACACAAATACTGAATTATGGATTTTGAAAGAACTGAGTGTTTCTGCTTTGTTTCTTTTTAGCAAGAACAGCTGATCACCTGGCAAAATTCAGAAGGCAAATAAATATGAAAATCACTCATCCTACATGCAAGCAAAAGGAAGAACAAACAAACCATCACCACTAAAATGCTGTAGGCACATCCCTTGCCCCGTGACTATGCCACTTGAACTAGAAACTGAGATGCAGAACAGACTGCAGAATTTTATATCCATGATAATGGCCTTTGCAGCTCTATCAGACACAATCAAAAGTCTGTCCTCGTACTTCAATGCCAAGAAGTTCCCTTTACTTCTCTCTGCCACTATGTTATAATAGAGACTTTTTAAAATAAAATTACACATTCATTTAGATTTGAACTTCATTCAAAGAGGATTTTTTCTGTAGATCATTTCCAAAAGCCATAATGACTACAGTACTGTTGGACGTGACAGGCTTCTAGAGACTGACCAGAGCCTAGAAATGTAGGAACATTACATATAACTCCCCCAACCAACAAGAGAAGCAGCTCCAGAAACTATCAGTCACCCTCCTTGCCAGCCAAAGAAGTGCACAGCAGCAGCTGGCAAGAAAGAAGAATGGCATAAAAGGAAAGGTGATGAGATCATGAGCTAATAGGAGAAAGAACATGCTGCTGTTTGTGGCTCTATGGAAGCACGGCACAGGAGCTGCTACACTACTGTTTACAGCTACACTGGTAAACAAATTACCACTGGACCAGGATGCTTTGCATGTGGATTTCCAGAAAATAAAGAAACAAAGCCACAAAACACGGATTCTTTGTGTATTGACTTTGACTTTCTTCAAGGAATTCATCTTGCTGACTCTAAATGATAAATTTGCACCTCAATTTTTGTCAAACATATCAAGAAATAGTAATTGTTTCCTCTTTTTTCCTTTGATCCTCTGCAGACAGTGATGGCTATCACATTCCTAGCCTGTGCCATACCAGAAATTTCATTTCTATGCACTGGAAAATAAAAATCATCTTCAAACCAGTCCTCTCATACATCATCACAAAGTGTTCAAACCAACTCAAGTGACAGCACTGTGCCAGCTGAGGCACAAGTGTTCCTCTCCCTCTGCTCCTTTGCAGCAGCCCCCACAGAACAGGATTCAGGGCTCAGGATAATGAAAAGGATCTGGAGATCCTTTCTGCTTCCCAGCCAGCAGCAACAGAGCAGGGGAATCTCCAACCTTGCCCATGGTCACCAAACCCACCCATGAGGCATCCTCCCTCTCCTGCACGAGCATCGAGCTGGTTAATTAGCTGGAAAGTTTCCACAGGATTCCTAACGGCAAAGGAGGATGGGCAAGGGACGGAATCAAGAGTAAAAACTGGGAAGTGATTGTAAAAACCAGCTCTGCAGGGATGAGGTCTGAGAAAAGAGTGTGGGAAAACCTGTGAAAGGACATGAAGAATCCAGCACAGGAGTTATCCAGACAGGAGTTGTGGCAGGGAACAGAGCAAATGAAAACTCAAAGTGATGAAAACCCAAAAAGCAAGAATGAAAAATAGAAATTCAACATCTCTTGTGGTTTTTATTGTAGAGAAACAGACAAATAATGTTCAGCAAGTAAATTATTCAGTAAATTCCACTAATTTTTTTTTCCACAGCTATTGTGACCAGCTGAATAGCTGTGCAAATATTCCCAGAATGATGACAACATTCATTGCACTGGAGATATCAAAAGACAGCCTATCTGACCTGCTATTAAGATGCTAGTGGAAAATACATTACAAGTAAAATTCTGCAAGCAAGAGACAACAGAGAACTATCATATTTCACCCTTTTGAGCTGCACGGGAAGGAGGGGAGGTTTTTCACAGCATCCTCATGCTTGTATTTGTCAACTAGCTTGGGGACATGTAAACTGTCTTTCAACACTCTCTCTCTACTTGAAGAATGCCCTCCTGTATGATTTAAATCTCAAACTTGGATTCAATAAACTCCAAATATATCTCTCCCAAAACACAAATGCCATTCCAAGTCTGAAGGTAATCTGTCCTCTTGTCTCTTTTGGGATAAGATCTGATGTGGTGACAGTGCAGGTCTAATAAACAGATTATGAAGATTTAATGACTTCCTCTTAAATATAAAACATGAAGTGAGACCAGACAAACCAAGTAGGAGCTGTCAATCGGACAATTAATTGCCTGGAGGGGAATTCACCTGATGTGGCTGTTTATGCCTTAAACACCCTCTTATCAACAGAAAAGTTGGCATAGAAAAATAATTTCTACATTTTGGTCTAGGTTACTTATATTCTCAGGAATGATGATTAATTGCTCCAGAATCTTATTGGGAAAAGTCTGTCTTTATTTTCCTAAATGATCTCTTGTTCTCATGCAGCCCTGGGAAAACAGACTGTAAAATTGCTGGCCACAAAAGGTTTGGGAGAAAATTAACTTTGAGCCACTGGAATATGTTGTAGAAGCAGCCTGCTAGCCCGGGAAATTGGCAGACTGAGATGCTTCCTGTCTTTGTGAAGAGCCAACAGAGATTTTACAAGTGCTCTAAGCCCCTTAGACAAGAAGAAACTTAAACTGGTTGGGTCTGAGCATGTAGTGCAACCAAAAGGAAGAGCAGCACCAGGAGCCTGTGCCAGCTGGGAGAATCTGTACTAATGCACCTACTTCACACATTACAAGGCTCTTACAAATCCAGGGCCAAGGACTTGCATACTCTGTGTACTTCAGCGTGTGCTGCTCTGCTTGATTTCTGGTTCTAAAATGCCTGCTTTTCAAAAAGCAATCCAAAGAATAACAAGTTTTTTTCCTTCCTGTCTGTATAGGCACTCTGGCACTTCCAACCTTTCCCATTTTATTTCTCTATTTCTCATCTGCCAGGTGAAGTTTATCACCATCTCTTTGTTACACATTTTAACAAGTAGTTAACTACCCTCATAAACTCCTCCTTTGAAACACATTTTGGGTGTGATAAATGTATTAAAAAAAGGTCAAATTTATATACCTGTACCAGCCAGATCCCATCTTTTGTATCTTCTACAAGCTCATAGAAGTGCATTTCACCACTGAAGTTTGTACTGGAAACTGATTCAGAGGCCTCTTCCTCCTTGAGAGCTGAATAAAGCTCTCCTTCCATGAGGTCTCCTGAAAATGAGACAATTGGGGGAATTTAACTCAATGGCACTGGAGAAAGATTACTTAATGAATTTTAGTAACAGTTTAACCAACTATATTTGCATGGCTGCTCGGAGAACCTTTTCAGTACAAAGGTAGCTAAACTTCAAGTTGTTACTATAATTCTATCTCTGGTGACATGACTGTGAACAATTTGACTTCAGTCAGACCACAGAAGACATGAATGCTCTGTTTCTGATTACACAGATGCACCACACATGCACGAGCACACAAAGGAATACAAGAACATCTTCTAAGGCTCATTCTCTGCAAGTAACAACATTCAGTGGCTGAGAGCAATTTTAGTCAATATATCTTTGCTTTCATTTCACTGGATTGCAATTTTGCAGCAAGAAATTTCTTAATACTGATAATTCAAACAGACTTTGGAATTCCAATGTTTGTGGGCCTGTTGCTAGTAAAAATCTCGGGCAGAATAATTTATTTAGCTGATAGCTTTTGTTTGCAGTTGGGAAAAGTTCCCGTGAACTCCAAATGCAGCGACATAAAGAGCTCACAGTAAAATCATCTGATTGTTTCCTTCGTAATCTCATTTCCTTCTCGTGTTTTGTTTCACAATCATTACAAACACTGTTAATGACAACCTGCATTCTAGTAAGTAATCTACTAAGCGTTAAGAAATTAAGTCTTGTCCAAAACCAGTTTCCTTAAAAATATAAAAATAAGCGCAACAGCAGAAACCCTTGAGGGGTTTGCAAAAATATTAATAAAATGTAGAGGGAAAAAAAAACCAAAACGCAACCACAGAAAAATGCTGCAAAGCCTGTTAGTATGAGAAGTGTTTCCATGACATTTGAAGAAGTTGGTTAATACAGTTTGTTTGGAGTTAAACACTTCCCTGAAGCATATGCAACCCAAACATCATGACATCATGAAAGTACCTGACAGCCAAGGAATGAAAGTGATTGGAAACAAAAGTGAAAGTGCCTAATGCTTTTTACTGCTGGAGCAGCAAAGCCAATAAACAACATAAAAACATAAATAAACAATGAACAGTAACAGCAAATTATATTTAAATGCCCAGGATTAATATCAATTATTTAAACCAGCATTTTTAAGGTTATATGGCAGGCACTACATCCTTCTCCCTCCTGTCCAGACATGAGACCCTCACTGCCTATCCCGATTGTTGGGATTTCTCTCTCTCCTGGATCACCAGCCCTTCCATCATTGATTTAAAAGCAGCTACTCACATTTTCCTGCTTGGCTGGCACTACAGCTATTACATCAGCCCCATCTCCCAGTCCTTGGGGCCAGCTCCCTCCAGCCACTCCAGGCAGCATCCTTACTTCCAGGACACTTCTGCCATTCTTACATCTCCACTGCTCTTCACCCCTTACTGTTCATCGGCCCTGAGAAAGTCCATCTCCTTCACCTGGTTCTCATCACTTCCAAAATGCTGCCTGCCTTTTTCCAAGCTGTTTTTTTGTATGCAGGAACTAGTTCTGTTCCCCTTGTATAAAACCATCTCAACCCTGGGTACCCATCCCTTCTGCTCCTCAGCTATGAAATCATCGCTTTCCTTGGGGTCCATCTTGATAACTGTACCTGTAAAAAAAACAGCAAACGGGTGGGACTACACGGGAACAAGCTGGCCTCAGCTGTAAACAGTAGCCTACTACAGCTATTTGGAGTCTCTCCTCGTTTTTCACGGCAGACGACATTCGGTCCCATCTGTGCCATCCGCACTGACCCGACCGCCCGCAGCGGAACTCCCGGGGCAGGGGAGGGAAGGGCCGGGCCGGGAAGGGAAGGGCCGCTGCTGGTGCCCCGTCCAGCGCAGGCCTTTCACTCGGCGCAGCCCGCTCGGGCTCACAACGCCGCCGGGCTTTGACCGTCACCCCCCGAGGTCCCTGGACCCTCTCCATGGACCCCCTTGCTGGGGGGAGCCGGCTCGCTCCCCAAACCCGCCCCGCGAAGGGAAGCGGCGCCCGTGTCTGCATCCAAGGGCGGCCGGAGCCCACGCGGGGATGGCCGGGCACCGACCTCCGTCCGTCCCCCCGGGTCACGGGGGAGCTCCGCGTACCTGACTTCTCCACCAGCTCCCGCACATCCTTCTTCTCGGGCAGCCCCGAGTGCCCCAGCCCGCGGCACTCCAGGATGGTCCGCAGCTTCCTGAAGCTCAGCGCCACCGGGTCCACCAGCTGCGTGGCGAGGAAGCCGCTCTCGTACCACGCCACGGCCTCGAACACCCGGGCCAGCACGAAGAGCGCCAGGAAGTAGAGCAGCAAACAGCACAGCTTCACCCACATCTTCCCGGGAGCGCCGAGCCGGAGGCCGGGCTGGGGAGCGAGGGAGGGGAGCGGGGGCTGTCAGGGGAGCGGGGCCGCGGCCCCCCCGCCTCCCGCCCGCCGCTGTCGCTGTCCCCGCCCCGGCGGAGCCGCGGAGACATAACAGTGACGTGAGCAACCGGCACCGCCCCCCTGCCCCTTTTTCCCCTTTTCCCCCTTCCCCTTTTCCCCTTCTTCTTCCCCCCGCCGTGATTCAGCACTGCGGCCCGACCCCGCATCACAGGGCTCGGGGGCGGTCGCATCCCTGCTCCCGGCTGCAACTTTGGACCCTGCGGCTGCGCTTGCTGCGAGAAAAACAATATATAAATACCTCGGATATCGGGGAGGGAGAGGGCAGGATCCGACTCGGCGGACGCTTTTCATGAAAATAAAAATATTTACAGAGCCAGAACTGGGGGCCGATATTTGCAGGGCCGATCTATTCGGGCAGTTTTAGGGCAGCTTAATGAACACAGTTTATTTGGATTGGGGCTGCTGGGTGTAGGGATGATCCCTCCGCTCCTCATTCCCGCACGCCAGCCCTGCTCCCAGCCCTTGGCTGGAGCGAAAGCAAATTCCACAGTGAGGTTCATCTGCACGGGTCGGAATTCGGGCTCTGCAGCTTTGCCTCGGCACTCGAGCGCTGAGAGCTTGTGCCAAAGCCACAGCCAAAGGCAAGCGTGGGCTGCACCCCGACTTCGGACAAGGGTTTAAGTTGGGGCTGTGCTCACATTGGAAGCATTCTGGAGCGCAGCATGGATGCCCACTGAAGTGGATCCTCGAAGAACCATCCCAGGCTGTAAAAGAAGCGTTGGCCTGCAAAGATAAAATTTAGCCATCTACAAAAACGTACTAAAATCAAGCTACTGCATTGAGATGAAGGCTCTCCTCTGAAGGAAACTCAACAGTGCTTCTGTATATTCAGTTATTTTAAGAATCCATAATTTGCATGAAAATTGGCAGCTCATACAGATGAGCACAAAAATAGCACGGCTTAATTTTAAAAACACTGAGAACCCCCCAGAGTGTACACGCTGTAATTCTGTACTATCAATTTTCAAAAAGGCACAATAATACTGATCTGGAAGAAAGCATTTAAATCACTGTACTCCTCAGAGCCTTTAAAACACATTTACTGGTTCCTCAATGTACTGATATGATTTAAAAAGGAAAAAAACCCAACAATCCAGGTTCAGCTTGTTGTGTGACATGGCCAACACAGCCTCTTCCAGAAGAAAAATCATGACACTGTGTTCTTCAGGAATGGGCTCATTTTGGTCTTGAAAGGGGAAGAGTGGTAGAATTGCAAAGACTTTATGGGCTGGTAAATATTGTGCCTTTCCACCTGTCATATACAACTCTATTCTTCAACATTTTTATCTGGAAAAGATAAAAGTGGACTGCAAACCTTTTATCTGCTGGTGCTGCTCTGTTAAATACAAAGTGATTTCAGCATCTCCACTGGGTTTGCAGCAAGCCTCGGGTGGCAGGGCCACATGGGACAGAAGATCCTGGGGGCACAGCCCGGTGGAGGGGCTCACAGAGGCCGGACTAAGTGCTCTTCTCTCCTTCACAGCCACTGCAGCCTGAAAAACTTCCCCTGCCTAAGTCGGGGCCCATCTCCCTAACGAGCAAGTGGCAAAGCATCAGTAAGATGAATCCTTTGCCCTTGGCAAAAACCAAGGGCGTGGCTTTGTCCCTGCAGCTGGTGGAGCAAGGGGACAGTCAATAAAACACACATTTCCCATCACCTGTCAGAGGGCCTCAGGCAGGCTCTGAGCCCTGAAGTGCCCCAGGAACAGGGTTCTTTTCCAGAAGCTTTGTGAAGGCTCTTTCTTTTGTCACACATACAAGAAGTTGCTTGATTTCTCTACCTTTTGTTTCAAGTGAGTGTGAAGTAACTCCCACCCGTGTGAAGTAATTGGTGGGAGTTTGAAGAAGGACTTTGTATATTGAACTTTAGTTAGAAAACATTGTTGGGTTGGGGTAGGGTTTTTTATTTGGTTTGTTTTTGGTTTTGTTTGTTTCCATTTGTTTGTTTGTTTTACATGAGCAGCTCAGACCCTACTCCAGTAGATTCCTTTGATTCTCCCCTGTAATTTCTTCGGGGTGCCCTCGCTTCTCCCGGCAGGAAAGCACCTCACAACAATTACTCCTCTAGCTCACAGCTGAACTATTTGCAACACCAACTGCTGGGGCGGCTGTCACCAGCGTGTCATTTCCGAGTGCTCATGGGCCGAGCTAAATGAGGCCCCTGCGGAGACAAAGCCAATCATCTGCCAGAACTCAAAGCCCTGGAGTCGTTTGAGGAAAGTACACATGATATTTCAAGCCAGTATTTAAAACCCCCCAAAACAACCCAAAACAAAGCAGCTGCCAACACTGAAGCATCTGGATGGGGGGCGGGTACAACCAAGAACTGCAGGTGATGAATTAACCAAAGGTCTGGCAGAGCAAACCTAAATGGAGCCTCTCCCAGGCTCTCCGGTCCTCTCTTCCCTCCCCACCTCTGCATCCCTGATGCACCAAGCTGACCCTACCAGAAAACATTCAATTTCCTAGATGTAGCTGTCATTTGATTTCCAGTTGCAATTCAGAATGTCTTTGACATGTCACCTGCAAACAATCTTTCAGGGACTTTTCGTTATGTGGAAAATCTAAATATCTTAAGAGTGAATTGAAATTCATTGGGGCTGAACACGAAGATGACACACACTGGCATTTTTAAAGATCCCAGGGTTAACACTACTTAATTAACAGTATTAAACAGTCATCAGTCAGTCAGTCCTATACTCACAGAGCAAATATTACAAATGTGAAGAGAATGGAGAATATAAATTCCACCTTTAAACAAAAGCGCAAAGCAAGGATCTGCTCTTAAATAATTCTGGCAGCAAAAAAATTTACTATAATTTAGGAGCTAGTAAGTCCAAATCCTGAGAACTGGGACAGGCACCTTTCCTTGTCAGACGGCCAAACCTGCAGTCTTTTTATCTGCTGCCCCTTGGTAAATGACAAGGATTCCCTCTCCTCCCCCACCCTCTCCTAGAAGCAGTTGCTGACTGTGCAGCCTGGAAATAGGGACAATAACCCATTTTCCAGACCTCTGGAACATAAGAGGGGAACATAAGAAAAGTACTGTCATTCTGAAATCAGTAAAACAGAGGATTAACCATCTTAATCCTTTACCACGTTAAAATAACATCACACTATTTTTATGATTTTATCAATATAACAGTTCAGCAAACTAATATTTCAAACAACCTGACAGTTTTTCCAGCCCCGCAAATACAATTTACTTTGATGACAGGAATTGGACCTCGATGACCCTTGTGGGTCCCTTGCAACTCAGGATATTCTACGATTCTGTGAATTTCTGGGAATTCACTAACACAGAAATTCTTGATGTGCTTCTTTATCAACATGGGTGCATCCCAACACGTTTTATGTGTGATATGAAACCGTGCCTCCTTGTAATTAATATTAAATAAAACAAAGAAACTTCTATGAGAGTCTCAAAGCAAGATGGCAACAGCCCAGACATTATTGTGTTGTAGGCAGAGGAATTTAAAATCAGAAGATGTTTCCTGCTTTGTACACGTGGCCAATGGGAAGTAGATTTAACAGAGGTGTGAATCTTTAACAGTGACCACTACTGACAGCTCAGCTAAAGCCCTGGCTGTTTAACCGTGGAATCCTGGCATGGTTTGAGTTGGGAGGGACCTCAGACCATCCAGTTCCAACCCCTGCCATTCGGGTGAGGCAGTCCTGGTGATCTGGTGGTGATTCACAGGGGAATTCAGGTTGGACAGGACGCCGGGAGGCTCTGAAGCCCAACCCCCTGCTCAGGGTCAGCTGTGACACCCGGGCAAGTGATCAGGGCTTTCCGCAGCTGCAGCTGGATCTGATGGTCACCCCCTGCGGGAATTTGATCTGCTATAAACACACAGTGATGAACGGCACAAAAACGGACATCGATCAGGGCAAACCAAATTACAGGAGCAGAATAAAATAATTAAAGCTTCAGATAAAGATTTTTTTTTTCCTAGGCAGTTTGCATTTTCTGTTTTTGTACCAGTGAAAAATTATTTGTTGTCCCTTTGGGGAAGACTAGCTCTGTTCAACGTTCAAAATAAGTAAATAAACAAGGAGTCCTTGCTTGAGTGTGCTGAGATGACGAAGGAGCCCACAGCAGTGGAGAATTTCACAAATTAAATCCCTGTGCTGATGACCAGGAAACCAGAAGATAGTGTTTGTGTTTAAGCATAATTTATGATTAAATAAAGAGCATAAACATAGAAAAGCAGCAGTTTGGGCTGAAATCTGATGAATTACTGACAGTGAACATCACACAACACATCCTGTGTTCTTGTGAGAATACAGAACTCTTGATTTTTCCCATCCTGCCCAGCATTGTGGACACAGATGAAACAACACCACCCCAGACTCAGGCCAAATGCTGGTTTTCCAGTTAACTTTGTCCAAATTTATTAGGAGCTTTGTTTCTATTGTGCTACACAAAACATAGAGTCCTGTGTGTCTTGGTCTACTGCCTCCAAATACCAAAGCTCATAGAGCCATCATCATAAAATCACAGAATGATTTGGGTTGGAAGAGACCTTGAAGACCCTTCAGTTCCAACACCCCTGCCATGTGCGGGGACACCTTCCACTAGTCCAGGTTGCTCAGAGTCCATCCAGCCTGGCCTTGCACACTTCCAGGGATGGGGCATCCACAACTTCCCTGGGCAGACTGTGCCAGTCTCCCCACCCCCACAGTAAAGAATTTTTTCCTAATATCCAATCTAAACCTGCTCTCTTTCACTTTGTAGCCATTCCCCCTTGTCCTGTCACTACATGCCCTTGTCAAGTCTTGCCCCATCTTTTCTCTAAGTTCCCTTCAGGTACTGGAAAGCCACAGTTAGGTCACTGAAAGCCTTCTCTCTCCCAGGCTGAACAATCCCAATTTTCTCAGCCCTTCCCCACAGAAGTGCTTCATTCCTCTCATCAACTTGGTGGTCTCCTCTGAATTCGCCTGAGGCTGGTGTTAACCAAGTGAAATTTCTGAGGCATCTCTTGGA